TGCTTCTCTCACTTCTACTGAACATACTACTAGTTTTTAGCCAGAGCAGTTAGGTTAGAAAAAAAATAAAAATGTATTACTACTTGTAGACATAAGGAAGGCTAGATATATTTCAGTTGCCATGATCTTGTCTGTAGAAAATTTTAAGGAGTCCTTAAAAAACTAATAGAGCTATTTAATGATTTTAGTAAGGTTATAGGAAACACCATCAATATACAAAAGTCAGTTGTATTTCTATACAGTAGCAGTAAACATCTTGAAGACAAAATTAAGGAAACAATTCCACTTACAATAGCCTAAAAAGAACAAACTTTTATTTTATTTTATTTTTTTGCAGTTTTTGGCGGGGGTCAGGTTTGAACCCACCACATCTGGTATATGGGGCTGGTGCCCTACTCCTTGAGTCACAGGCACTGCCCTAAAAGAACAAACTTTTTAAAAACAAATTTAATAAATGGAATTCAAGATTTATACACTGAAAACTATAAAATATTGTGGTACTGGCATATAGACAGACTTATAGATGAAGGGAAGAGAATTGAGAGTCCAGAAATAAAACCAGACATTTATGGCCAATTGTTTTTGACAAGGGGTGTCAAGATAATTTAGTGGGGCAAAGAAAGTTTTTTCCCAACAAATAGTGCTGGGATAGCTGGACATGCACATGCAAAAAAATGAAATTGGACTCCTATCTGATACCATATGGAAAATTAACTCAAAAGGGATCAAAGACTTAAATATAAGAGCAAAAACTATTAAACTGTCTGAAAAAGCATAGGTGTAAATCTTTGTGTCCTAAGCTTAGGGAGTTTCTTAGATATAACACCTAAAACATAAAAGCAAGAAAAGAAAAATACATCAATGGATGTCATGAAAATTAAGTTGGAGGGTACTAGCAAGAACGTGTGCTTCAGGGACGTTATCAAGAAATTGGTAGGACAACCCCCAAAATGGGAGAAAATATTTATAAATCAAATGTAAGGGTAAATTATCCAGAATAGATAAAGAATTCTTATAATTCAAAACCAGACAAACCAGTTAACAAATGGAAGAGGGCTTTCTGTAGACATGTCTCCGAAGGAGATGTCCAGGTGGCCAGTAAGTACCTGTGAGAAGATGCTCAGTGTCAGTTAGGAGGGAAGTGCAGGTGGGAAGTGCAGTGGGAGGCCATTTGTAGCTTCTGGGAATGCTGAAAGAAAACAGACAGATGCTAAGTGTCACTAAAGATGGGGAGTTGGGACCATCATACATTGCTGTTGGTAACACAGAATGGTGCAACTACTGTGAAAACAGATTGGCAGTCCCTCTTCAAACTAAGCCTAGAGCTACTTAGTATACGACCCAGCAATTTTAGTCTAAGGTGTATACCCCAGAGAATTGAAATATGTGTTCATAAAAAACTTGTACATGAAGATTAATAGCAGCAGCATTATCAAAAGCACAAAGGTGGAAAGATATCAAATGTCTATGAACTGATTTGAATGAATAAAATGTGGTATATTCATACAGTAGAATTTAGTCAGCCGGAAAACACATGGATTACTGACCCATGCCATAATATAGATGAACCTTGGAAACATGCTAAATGAGAGAAGCTAAACACAAAAGACCACATAGTGTTGATTCCATTTATATGAAGTGTCTACACCAGGCAACCCCAGGAGACAGAGAGTAGATTAGTGTTTCCCAGAGGTTCAGAGAAAGAGGCCATGACAGTGACTTTAATGGGTACAGGGCTTCTCATTGGAGTTATGAAAATGTATCTAATTAAAAAAGAAACAACATGGGAATATACTAAAATTCACCGAATTGTACTTTTTAAAAGGATAAGTTTTGTTAATGTGAATTTTATCTCAATTGAAAAAAGAAAACTGTATGTGTATACAGAACTGTAATGTCGTGACCTTTAGCATGTATACAAAATTGTTGTATAAAATGTATGTTGAAAAATATTACTTGACATAAGAACTATCCAGGTAATAGAATTTCATTTTTAGAATCAAGGTCTCTTTCTTCCTATCCCTTGCCTTCTTTTTTTTTTTT